GCAGTTCCCAACGCAGAGAGGCGATTTACCACCGTTGCATCCTCACCCTCTGTTACCCCGGTGCTTTCTTCCCCACGTTGAGAACACAAGACAAGTTGCAACCGCAAAATTTCTTCCTCTCCATGAACTTTTTTCCGCTGCAGACGTTCCAATACATCGCGTTGTGAGGCAACCACCTCCCCATTGACACGGTTCAACACGTATTTGCCATCCAGAGTCTCAGTCCTAGCAACACCTGAGAGTGATGGTGGGTCAAAGACAATTTTAAGCCCGGACGAGCTGTCTGCATGAATTAACTGTGAGAGATTCAGTAGCGCGAGGGAGTTACTACCAAATTTTAAACCCCATCCCCCCGTGAATGGACCCCTTCGATTTAATACAAGCTCAATGGTCTCTGGAAGCTTTTCACCAGCGATGAGGCAAGGAGCACCACAGCCACCAAAAACTTGAAGAGTGGCGCGGAACTGAAGACATACCTCCCGCCGTTTTCCAAGTTTCACAAACACAGCAGCCACTTGACGACGCTCCGTCACCGCCGTGTCATTGATGCTATTCAAAACCCACTTGCATTGCCTCAGAAACTTGCGGGAGTTCACATCCTCAGCCCCCAAACGTGATTCAGCAGCAGCAGCCCCATCAGTTAAAATTGAGGTTGGAGGTGGAAAGACGTCATGGAATTGGGAGAGTGGTAAACCTTCACTTGTATTTATAAGCGGCAAAAAAGAATCATCATCGCCGGCACTTAACAGACTCTCCGTCCCACCCATGGCCTTTAGAATAAATTGAGAAAGGGCCACAAACTGCGGATTCGCCCCATCGCTTTTTGTAGTTGCATTTCCCATCTGATGCTCATTCTGCCCTAACATTTCCTTTCGGAATACTTTCTGAACGGCAGGACTGTAAGGGACGTTTGCCCCCCAGCGTAGTCGACACTCCGACACTACAGTCACATCGTCGATCGCAGAAAGATAAAGGGTGGAAGTGAGGTGAACACCCCATTTTTGTTCCTCTGATCGACGACGCAGCCGCAGCTCCAGCTCCAGGACCATATTATCATCCTTTGGATTTTCCACTGCCGCCAAACTACTACCCATATCCGTCATCCCTGTTGTGGCATTGGGCGGCAGCATTGCCGACGTGTCGGCTTTTGCCAGCTCCTGAATAACTTCCTCCCGCCTCTTGAAACTTTCATGTTTGCTACGCTTAAATTGATACTCAGCGCATGACTCCAACGCATCATGATCGCGACAGTAACATGCCCGGCAGAACGTTGGACTTGTCAGCCACCGTGTCTCGGTATCAAGTTCTCGCCGCACGCGGTGAATTTTGTGCTGCAGTGCACTGTCATCCTCACGCTCCACACCGACAAGGATAAAGTACTCACGTAGCATATGCCCTAATGCAGCCAATCCATTTCTTACAACGGCATGCACATGAATCGTAAATAGACGGTCAATTGTTTTTAGCGCATCGTCGCCCGTACGCGGAGCGGCAAGAACAAGATTGCCGTTCAGCTGTCGCTCCACGTGTCCAAGAGCCACGTACTCCTCACGCACTGGCGGAGTAAAAAACTCCTCAGCAAGTAGACCATTAGACAAACGTGCCCCAATTGTTGTGCACCCCAATACAAGACTCTGACTTACAAGTGATGACGTCAAGGAAAATTTAGCGACGGTATCTCCAGATGTTTGCGAAGATTCCTTTTCAATTGATTTCCCAGCAGGCGGCAAACGCTGCAGACGCAACCGATCATTCTCAAGCACACGCGCAGCGTCAAAGTGAATAGATTTCATCGGAGGCTTGTCCTCAAGGATAGTGAAAGTTATATCAATCGGACGAATAATAAAACGGCGAAACAACAACGGAGATGATTCGCTGCGAATGTCAAGTAATAAACGACAGGAATCGCTCATGCCAAGCAGTAGCTGTGGGGCGTGTGCCTCACGAAGAAGAGCCAACATATTCGATCGTGTCATAATAGGGTGCTGCGTGGTTTCCGGTGCAAAAAGTTCAGAGGGGTAGACTCCACGAAGAAATGGGATGAAGACATCCTCCAGACTACATTCCGCGGCCTCAGCTTCATTAGTCACCAGCATGACATGTTCCGCCTTTACTGTTGTAAGCATGCGACGATGGGCATCAGCACGGTACTCTGGACGTAGCACGACATCACCTGGAAGGACACGACGCCCGCCGTGACGTAAACGCCGCGACGCCATCATATTCCACACAGAACAACGGAGTGCACTCAACCAACGCCGCCGCCATACATATGGCGTTCGTGCAACTGTCTGTGACCAGTCACCTCCAACAAGAATGTAGTTCTTGAGTACTTGACGCACAGTGGCGTCCGTGGAGACACGTTTTGCCCGCGCTGCAGTGATTAGATTTGGCCGCGATAAAAAATGACGCATTGCCATTGGAGCATTTCTCCGGTGAAGGGCGTTAAGGAGAGCGGACTTAAAAAATCCATGAAGCACATCCGTAGCGGCTCGTGCCAATGACGCCTCACGATTGGCACAGAAGAAGACTGCACCCACTTCCTGCACGGCTCGTAGGCGGTGCTCAAGCTCGTGACGACTGCCACAGCTTACACGACGCAGTAATAGTTCGACTTCATTCAAAGGCTTCCAGAGAGACAAATCACCAAAAAGATCGGCACAAGACTTTTCATCTTCCACGGCACGAATCGATCCCACACGTAATACAAATCCCGGATGACGCATCGTGTTGAGCAAGAGTAAATGTTCGCGCTGCAGATGATTGGGACCCACCGCACAAAGAACGGCTCCACATGACATTTTGGATACCGCAGTACATGTATGAAATGCACGTTGTGGTATATTAAAAAGCGCTGCCATGTGCCCAATGGCATTCTGCAATGAGACATTCTCAGTGTAGAGGACAAACAGAAACGCCGGACTTTTACTAGGTGGGAGATTTTCTGTAAATCCAATAACAGGTGGAGGAGCTGTGTCAAGGTATAACATGACGTCTTCCAAGGAGAGATGCCTTCCCAAACTCTTCTTGTCATTCGATGCTGCCGCTTGCAAAGCTTGCGCCTCTTTCATCCTTTTCTGAACAGCAAGTGGCAGATGCTGCAGTGTCTGCCGACGGAGATGCAACACAAAGCACAGGAGACACACAACATCCGAGGATGAGAGTGGTTCCAGCCGAACCACACCGCCTTCTGGTACAAACCACGGTGTACGGACACCGTGAACAACGACTTTTTCTTCACTCTGAAGTTGACAGGACACTGACTCTCGAGACTGTTGTTTCCGCTCCTCCTTGTCTGGAGGAATGCCACCGCTCTCACCCAGTGATGAAGGCACGGTAGAGAAAGACGAAGAGGGAGCGGGCACTGGTTGCTGCAGCGGTTCTTGCTCCTCAAATGACAAGAAGTCTGCATCCGTGAGTGACATCTCCACCCTCTTTTCATTCGTCGCCAACTGTTCAGGGATTTTTCCACTGTCTTTGCTTGCAAAATAAGATGCGGCGTCTACCTCCCGCATTAGGGCATCACCATAATGCAACTCGTGCAGTGACGACAGGCGGCGTATTTCCGGAAAGAGACGCTCTGTGATGCCAACATCAAACTCCACCTCTGTAAGAGCCCATTTCTTTCGCCGGCGCTCAATCTTCTCATGGGCCACGTGTGCAGCACCCGAAGCAACCGTCTCACCAGCTTGCATGTGACGATGCAGTTGTGCCTCGGACAAAAGCCGACGGTGAACTTCAAGAGAGCGAGCTACCGCCAAACTATCTTCAGAGTGTGCTGCAGGCACTGACGACGAGAATACCTTTCCGTTAGTCAGAGTGGCGGGCAAAACCACGGATGCTGAACTTCCCTTATCATTTTCTTTTTGCTGGTGGAAACCCAATTTTGTTGCCTCGCCCTCTTGTTTGCCGCGCGCATCCCGTCGCTTCGATCGGCCCCTTCGAGATGTCGTTCCACCGTGTGAGGGTAAAGACTTCCCATCATGATCATCATCGTCGTCATCTCCCACAGCACTGGTGGACTGCTGACGCCTGATCTCCATGGCGGCGGCAAACCGAACACCAGGGTTTGCATGCAGCAAATGGAACGGCGCCACAAAGCGCCTGACACGCCAAATGTGGCCAGGAGCAAACAACATCTTTTCACTTCCCTCCCTTCTTTCCTTTTCCCAATCCCCCCCTTATTGTTCCTTCGTGTGTGTGTGTGTGTGTGGGCGATTGAGTGGGGGCGTGCTGCGACAGCTGAGTCGTCAAAGGCCATCCCAAAATAAAAAAACAAAATAATAAAATAAGCAAATAACAAAATCATGCGGAAGAAATGATAAATGATCAGTCCGCCACGCAAAAGAAAAGAAAAAACAAAAACAAACGAACCATCCCACGTTTAACGAACGAAAATAACAATAGGAAATTAGACGTGGTGCACTAAGAATGGCGGGAACTATATTCTGTGTAAGCGTGCAGTTTGCCTCAAATGAATGCGCCGTTGCCCTCCCGAGCGTTTCTACAAACACACACACACACAAAAAAAAAAAAAAAAAAAAAAATGGGAGAAAAAAAAAAAAGGAGTTGTGGGTCTCTCATTAATTTCAATTTCCTCCTTTTACTTTTTCCTCCTTGTGTCTTCTTCCCATCCTTTGGACAACTCCCCCGACAGCCTCAGTTCCATTTTTATTTCTGTGGGGATCCGCTTATAGTTCTATGAGGAGGCAAACCATAAACCCGTCATCTTCCACCTGCTTTCTCTCGGTAGTAAATGCCTTTTGTTTGTTTTTTGTTTTTCCTTTTGCGTGTGCATGCGGGAGGTGCTTATGACGGATACGACAAGAAAAACAAAAAATACAGACACACGGACACGCACACACACACACACGCAGAGTTTAAAACAAAAACCAACGCTCCGGCGTCACGCTTATTTAAATCGACATCTCCATTCCATCAGCCTCTCATTCCAGCCGCGCTGCCGCCGTTTCTTCCGCAGTATCAATGACAGGTGTCGCCTACTCTGCCTGCACTTCCTCTTTTTCCTCGTCACCGCAGGCGCCAATGGACTCCAGATACAGCTGAACCTTCTTTTCTGCTTCCGCCTCCACTTCCTCGGCGGTAGGTGGGTTCAACACATCCTCAAACATAAACGATGTCACGACGGTTCGACCCCCAAACAAACGACCAGCAATTGCACGTTGTGCCTCTGCCGCCTCATCAACAGACTCGTACTCCACAAACACACGACCAAAACCACCGTGAATTGGATGCATAAGTCTTTCTGTGTACTCTTCGCGTGCTCTAAGGTACTCCGCCTTGGCCTGTTCGTACTTCGCCTCCTCATCAACGTCATCCTTCTCCATTTTATAGCAGTCTTCATTTTCTCCGTCAGGCGATGAAACGCCGCCCATGCTTTGATTGACGTGGTGCTGTCGGTTATGGCCACCACTATTCTTGAGATTATCACCACTCTTCTTAGTTGTGTTTATTCGGGACGCAAAGTAATTCTTCGGCGGTTTAGGCGGCATCGGTGGTGGGGCACGGCGGGGGACGATGAGCGTCTTAACACGACCGTACTTCTCCACCTCGCAAGTAATTTCATCCACAAGCCGCTCATACGTTTCGTCCAGCACAAGCTCCTCCTCATCAAACAAATTCAGCAACACTAAAACCCGAGTGGGGTAAATGGGCACCGTGCTGCCGTACAACGTTGAGAGGTGGGGAAATGTCTTGGCAAAGTGTAACACAACATCCGGCAACCGCACCGCAAACTCCACCAGTTCTTTCATGTGGTTCACCGGTTCTTCAGCCTTTGCAACGTCATCGGCGAGAACAGGCACAAGTGAGCCGGCTATCTGACCATCTTTGGCCAGCAGGGATGCACCCGAGACAGGGTCATCTGGATCAAGCGCAACGTCAATTTCGGCATGTGTGCACACCACCTTTAACCAGTCGTATAAAGGCATCAACACCACCACATTGTTTCCAAGCGTTTCGCCATGAAGTTCAGAAACAAAATCAACGGCATCCGACTCCTTTTCAAATTCTCCGTACGCCATTCCAGCCTTCACATCAAAGGCAAGAAGGGGTCCATACTGCTCAAAGACCAGTCGCAACTTTGCTGCTGAAAGTGTCAATGGAAAGCCAAGCATAACAACCTTGCGTCTGTCCACTCCAGCCAAAACCTGGTAATCTCGTGGCCGACGGATTGTGATTGGGTACGACCGTCCATCAGCAGAAATGAAAGTAAAACGTTCCGGATCACGCTGGGACTCCTCCACCAATTCCGTCACAAGGTCTGCCAGATTGACTTCAAGAAAGGCAAATGGCTTCGACTTGGCACTGTTGACCGCAATGTCAATTACGCGGTCAACATCCACAATGGCATTCGGTGGAATTTCCCGACGCTCAATATCCGCCCCCGGGCCTCCTTCTTCACGCAACTTTTCCGTAAACTCATCCATCTCTCGTTGCACCTTCACACGACGCACCATCGGAATAATGGTGGTAAAGTAATCCAACAGTTCTTGCCGGGTGGTACGTTGAGGAAAAGAGGAGATGTGCGCACGACGCGCCTCTCGGGCACGTCGCTCCGCCTCTGGTGAAAGTTTCGGTGCCTGAAGAACAGCTAACGCCCCCGTTGTCGTTGCCAGTGCTCCCTGTTGTCCTTCCTCGGTCTCGCCACTGGCACTTGTACCCGGCAACCCACCGTTCCCACCACTACCATCATTATTGCTGCTCCCTGGAGCACTAAGAAGACTCAACAAGCTCTTTGGAATAACCGGAACAAAGTCGGCTACGGAAGGCAGAACTCTGGATGGACCCGCTGGCTTGGAAGCGTTCTCCTCGTTTGCCTCTTCTGCTCCTCTCCGCTCTTGTTCTTGTTCTTGTTGTTCTTGTAGTTGCTGGGATTCGTTGGCTCCGTCATTTTTAGCCGGAGGAGGTAATGCGACTGTTGCAACCGGCGCATCTGGTGATGGAAGAACGGCGTCTCTCATATTTTCCTTCTCGTCCTGTTGCTGAAAAATTACTGGAATCCGCTGCTGCTGCTGCTGTTGTTGTTGTTGTTGAATGAGGGCCAAGATCATTTCGCCAGGCAATGACGATGTCATGCCACCGGCAGGTGTCTGCACTTCAGGCTGCAGCAGCTCTCGTACGTCCACCGCCTCAAATTTTTGCCGGCCACCATCCACTCTTCGTGACGTGCTAGAGGATGATGATGACCCCCGTGATCGTGAGCGTCGGCGTCCCCCTCCTTTCTTAGCTCCTTCTTTGCTACCTGACCGACCTCTGCCCGTTCCATGTCGACGTCGTCGCTGTTCATCGCTCTCGGAATGCCGTCTGCTGCGGTATCGATCACTGTCTCGGTCCTCGCTGCCACCACGGCGCCCACTCCGCGGGGAACGTGAACGCCGTTTTCCCGCGTACCGCCCGTAGCGCGTAGATTTCTTGGAGGCGTTACTGCTTCCATCAACAGCGCCATGCCGATCGGTTTCGGCATCGACGCGTCGAGCGTAGCGATCCCCACGACTGTCGCGGCCCATGTTGTATTCCTCTTCTCTTTAGCCCTCTTTTTCCCCTCCTTTTTTTCTATTCCCCCCCTCCCCCCAGCGCAATGCGGCGATAGAATAACAATCCCAGGAACAAGCAAGAAGAAATAAAAAAAAAAAAAAAAAGGGCAACAACAACAACACAACGGCCAAAAATTCCCTGCCGGAAGCGTGCAAGAAAATGATCGCAACCACAAGAGGCGCAAGTTGTTGTCAAATTATTGGCGGCCAATACTTACGGCCTGCGGAATCACTTCAAATAAAAAAAAAGCCGCGTCTATACCAATCCGCATACTTGGAATAAGACGTAAAATAGCGTAAACAAAGAACATCAATCTAAAAACGACATAAGATTCCCCTGCAAAACCATTTCTGCTACTGCTGTTGTTGTTGTTTTTGGTGTTTGTGTGTTCAGCTGGAATAGGGTCACACAAGGCAATGTCGTTTTTCCTTTTTTTTCCTTTTTTATTTGAGTATTGAGGGAGAGGGCGGTGTTAGAGAGAAGGCGGGGATCGTTTTGAATCCTTTGAGGGCGAGCATCATTTGACATTCCAGGGAACATTATTTTTAGGGCCCCTTCCCCCTCATTTCTTCGTTTCCACTTAACTCACACATTCCAAGCTTCACTGAAGATTTAGACAGCATGCATAACGTCGAAGAAGTTCTCGCACGGCGGAAATGGGAACTGCCATGGAACGCTGCCGGCGCACGTGCTCCACACATAGCTCGAGAATCGATGTGGTGTTGTTTACCATAGAGTCGATCTCATTCCCGTGTTTCTCCACGTGACTTCCCTCTGCATCCGTCCATACATCTCCTGCGGCTGCTGGTAATGGTAAAGATGTCGATGTTGCCGTCACATCTGCGGCCATGGTCTCGGTAGTGTTTGGACGCTTCCCCCGATTCCCAAGAAAGACAGAAAGATATGAAGCAATGGTTTGATACTGCCGCCCTTGTCCCTCTTCATTCTTCTCCACCAATAAATCCACGGAGTTCCGCACAACCGGAAGTTCACCGCATGACAATGCCACAAGCCATAGTAAATACGCAATTGCCAGACCGCTGGAGCGGTGCATCCCAGCTGAGCAATGCACGAGGGAACAGCACCGGGACAGGAGGGACGGCTCATTTTGAGGTCCACTACGTGCCGCGTCGAACGGAAAGAATGGGATGCCGTGCAGAAAACAAAAGACACCCTCCTGAAAATGTTGAGAAAGATCATACGATTCCTGATCTTCGGCGGGAATAACCAGCTTAGCAATCAATCGACTTGAGCACGGAAGCTCCGCGGTGTAAATCATGTACGGACCAAAGGTTCTATACGGTTCCCAGGCCAGAGGTGAAAGACACTTCCTCAAGAGCTCGTAGGCCACTTCCTGTTCTTCACTGCAGAGAAAAAGTGAACCTGCCCTCTTCACGTTTTGCACATTGCCCTGGCTCATATCAGCCCCCTCCAATAGTAGTCGACGCCAGCAATATAGCTTATTTAAAGCCATATCCTTGCTCTTCCCAATGCCCCGGAAATCATTGACATCACTCTGAGGCGGATTCGCATAACATTGTACCACTCGTGTTATGTTTAGGAAGTCAAGAAGTAGAGGCTGATACACCGGTTCCCTCCCCGAAATGTATACCTGGGAATATGACGGTTTCCACCCAGCCCCCCAGTTCCCGTCCCTCGCTTCGTCACATTGGAATGCATCAACAAGAAGTGACTGTGTTGCGCGCCGCTCCACTTCCTTCTCGCTTCCCATAACATGTCGACGCAAAATTTCTTTAAAGACTACACGATAACGACGCACAAAGCAAAGCGCACGAAATTCCAATGGAGAAAGTGGATTCGGTCGGCGGTTACTGGAAGCAGGCTCTTCTTGATACCGCAACTTTGCAACCACAACAATAAGGAAGCTTTGAAAAAATAACCGAAAAAAGTCACGTATAGTGACCGGAGGACAAGGGGGAGACTGCTGTGTTTTCTCCTTCCCCTTCTCATCCTCCCTCTGCAATATTGTTCCCTGAAAAACAGGTCCAGCGGGTACGGTGACATTGTTGGCCGTGGTTTCGGAAATGGCAGCGGCAAGAAAGTTATCGTGTGCTTCAAGACAGCGCTGCGGCACGTCACTCTGGTAGAACTCTTCTTCTTCTGTCGAGTACGCACCGTATTTTTCTTTCTTCATTCCGATTGCGCCACATTTGTATGGCGCCTGTGTGGTGAAGTGCAACTTTCCTCTGCCACTCTTATTGTACTTTTTGCTCTCCCACGCCACTTCCTCTTTTTCATCCTCCACTTCGTCCTCATAATCCACCTCCACCCGGGCTTCGTACAAAAAGGTAGAGTAAATAGTCAGCTGCGTTGTGCGACCACGTCCAATCCTTCGCCGCTTGCTCCGACGGCTGTGATTACCGCCAGGAAGGCGGCTTTTGCCTCTCGGCGTCGTTCTCATTGCTGCGGAGGCCGTCAAAAGAGCCTCTTCAAGCGTGGGAAACGCTGCTCTGGCAAGTGTGGTCACATTTTCCTCCTCCGGCACACGTGTCGCCCGTTGCTGCTGCTGACAGTCGTAAGAACCGCCATAGGCAACGTCACTGAGAAGCGGATTTTCAGCCCTGGATAGTAATACCTCGAGGAGTTCAACGTTCCATGTCATGGCAGCGAAAAAAAATGCAACATCCTCCTCGTCAATCCACAGGGGGCGTTCGTGGCTTGTGTCCGTGCCACCACATGCAGCTCCATGAGGCTCTTGAAACGATGAGACCGATGCGCCAATCGTCTTCGTCTCGGGAAGCGCGGATGAATCATGCACCCCAGACCTCATCCTTCCAGGCGTGGCAGCTGAGAAAAGTCCCAACCTCCCCTCCCCTGCTGCTGCCTCCGGTGTGGTGTAGAGTTCTGTCATGCGAAGAGTACTAAAAGTAAAGGTGTAACGACCTTCCTGTTGGTGTTTTCGTTTGTGCGTCTACTTCACCCTTTTTTCCTTCCTCCCCCACCTTCCCTGACTTCCTTTCATGCATGCATTTGTGGGTACGGACGTTCACAGGGAACGCATGCGGTGCGGTCACGCCACAATGCAGAGTTCACGCGGCACAAAATTGGGGGGAGAATCAAAAACAGATGTACCAGAAATTCGCCGCACCAACAGGACAGAAACAAAAACAACAACAAAAGACGCGCAGGGCACATCAAAAAAAGAAAAAAAAATGACAAGCTGATGATGAAGGAAAAGGGATAAAAAAAAAACGCAGTTTTACTCCCGCCTCTCGGAAACCAACTCCCTCCATAACAACAATAACAAAAGGAGGAAGAAGAAAATCGCTCCAAATACACAACAATATCAACACGGACAACAAAGCCGTAAATAAATGAATAAGTGCTAGTGAGAGGGAAGGAGCACAAGTAACAAAAAAAGATGTTACGCTCGCACAAACACACACACACACACACACAACCATAAACCAAAACAAAAAAGGGAAGGGAAAAAAAAAAACACGGCATCTTTGAATTACACCGCCACACACGACTTTAGGCGATAGAAGGAGTGAAAGGCAGAAAAGGGAGGGGGAAAAAAAAGGGTCATGGATGCCACGCACTCACATACGATGGCTAACCCTTGCAGCGGCCATTTGTTGTTGTTGTTGTTGTTGTTGTTGTTGTTGTTGCCGGTGCTGGTGTTCCCTGTAATTAGCTGCGGCAAACGCTGTGCTTTTGGCATTATGAAGAAGCCATTTACTCAAAGTAATGTCATCATACATGACCAAAAACATCAAAGGCATGTACGCATACACGGTCCAGTGGCCATGCCTATCTCGAATCAGCTTCCGCAGGTAATACACCTGCCATGTCCAGTTGGTAGCACAACAAAAAATGTAAACCACCACAGCAACGACGGAGAGTACACGTGCGACGTTGGGTGAAACACCAAGAAAGCGCGACGCAAGTAACACATTTACACAATACGCAAATGTTGAGAAAGCCGCGTAAACAACAACACAACGACAAATGTTTTCCTGAGAGTAGTCGTTTGTTGTGCTAAAAAAGTTAAACAACAGAACACACAGATGATGTATCCACGTGGACCAACTCATTCGCTTCACCACAATCATGGAGACAAAGTCAGGAATAGTATAAATACAGCCAAGATTGCGAAGTGTATTTGTGTCCCAAACGTCAAACATAATAATATTTCCCAGGTGTGAAGTCGCAAAGGGAACCAATGAGACAAGAATGCCGGCTTTTATAAGGTTCGCAATGGTGTACAACTTCTTATCATGAGATATACGGGCGAATGAGAGTGAATAACGCTCCAAAAAGTAGTAGGTCATGTAGTAACTAGAGAATATGATATAGGTTCCAATAACAAAAAGCCCTAAGTGGTCACGAGTGTCCAAAACGTGATACTGCAGAAACTGAACGACTACCCAGTTCATTGCCGCCACGCAGCATGAGACAGTAAGGGCAGGTCGGTTATCAAGCGTTGCCTCCCAAGGATAATTTCCCTCCCCGACATACGCACGCACAAAAGAAGTGGGACTAAAAGTTGGTAATGATGGGAAGAGAGAGGTAACGGTGTTACTACTGATGCTCCCCTCCTGTGATTCTTTTCTCTGTCGGGGGTTTTCCCGTTGTTCTTGTTGTTGTCCTTGATTCTGTTGGTGTCGCCAGTCTTGACGCATATTCCCCATGGATTTCGCAGCACCATCCTCTATTTTTGCATTGAAATGTGCATTGGACCCCGTGCATGTATGAAACTGTTCTTGTTCTTGGCGGCGATGGTGCTGATGACGTCTATCATACAATGTGGAGCATCCCTGTCGCCGCAGCGTGGCATGTGAATCGACCATATCATGGCCTGACCTCCTTATTGTTAAGTAATTACATTCTCTCGTCTGCTCTGTCTGTACACCAGTGACATGCTGGGAGGGGGATTCCAAGTTGTCATCCTCTTTCCCTTTTTGATTCCCATCATCCACAGAGCCATTACTATCCAGCGTCACCGTAATTAAGCTCTGACAGTAGAGACAGCGGATATGACACGTCGACCGACATTCATCCGTGCCCACAGTAGTATTCGTGGTGGTTTCATCGAACGAAGGGGCCATGCGGTGGTGAGTGTAAAATGCCTGTGCCTCCCTCTCCATGGGCGAACCACAAGCTACAATTGCTTTCGTGGCATCGTCCCCACTGATGTCACGTGTCTCAAGTGATGTGTTCCCCATTGAAGACATCACCATATTTGTCCGCAGGGCCTCGCTTTCCTGCGAAGGAAGTGAGTATTCGCCACCGCTAAACTGGTGGTCGTCAGCTCTTCTTCGCAATGGTTCCGTGGACGGCATGCCATTCAAAAAATAATCTACGCCCCTACTGTTGGAGAATAATGCCGCATGCTGGCAGTAGCGATCGATATCGCTCATTTCGCCTTCAAAATCCTCACCTTCTGATTTAACGCCGTCGCTACCATCACCACTGCCACTCTCAGAAGGGCTGCTCGTAGCCGCTGCGGCATCACTCTCGCGACTCCTCTTCAGCGTCTGCGAAAGGTGAGCGGCACTCGTACTGGAAGCATTCGATATGCGAAGGAGTTGCCGTGGATCTTCCGTGTGGATCGGATCTCCTGGCGTCTTCTTCCTCTTCGTCGTCCCGACTTCCTCCTGCCCTTCCGTACGGGGCATCTCTTCGCCACTTGTTGATACGTATTCCTCCCTATTTTACTCACCGTCGACCAAACTCTAACACACTCCGCCACTCACACAACGGGAAGACTCGACAACTCCACACTTTTTTCCCTTGCTCCCAAATGCGCCACGGCATTAATAAAAAAAATTCATAGAAAAAAAAGGGGAAAAAAGGCAAATGAATGACATGGCGGGGCATCCATAAAATGCAAAAAGCACAGTTTTTTTCTTCTTCTCACCAGCAGAAAGGCAATAAAAAAGAAAGAAAAGAAGAGGGAAACTTGAAAAGTTACCGGCAGAAAGTCAATTGAAATTCCACAAAAGTTTCAACAAATACAAAAAATAAAAATAAAAACACACAAAACACAACAAATAACAACAACCAAAATGCTTTACTTCTTTCTGTTGCCACCGTTCAATTCATAATCGTTCTATATATGCTGCACTGTAAAAGACCAACCAACCAGCAACCAATATATTTCATCTTCTTCCTCCCTCTTTGCTCATCCCTACTCCCAGATTCTTCTCCTTCCCGTCCCTCTCCTACCACACTTATGCGCATACCACCCAATGTATGCATGCGTGTTTATTCGTCGTGTGTAATCTGGAGGAAGGTCTATGCGTTGGGCCATTTTTTCCTTTTTTTTTCTTGACCCTACACAATAAAGGAATCGCCCAGCGCCGAGAGGGTGAACAATGGTGCATTTGAGGGAGAAACAGCCACTGCGCCACGCCAACGACGCCCTGAACGACCAAGACAAAATAGAAAAATATTCAACAAGGCATTCCCATAATCAGCATAGATGCAGCAAGAATTTTTCTTCCTTGCTTTGGAATGTAACACTGTCCCATCGTCTACTGGTAGTGTCACACCCTCTGTAATACCTTCTGGTGGTATCCAAGGTGCACTAAAGGAGATGGTCGGAGGGAATATGCTGACAAGACCGCCCTCACTGCCTGTTGCTGTGGGATTCGCTAATTCTATGCATGTGGCACCGTTAGCGGCGGCGACCCACTGCCGCACGGCCACAAATGTCGCCATAATGGAAGCCACGAGGCCGTACTGAAGCAGCCACACGCCAAGATAATTCGCCTCCGTTGGTAATACATACTGCAGCCACGATACCCAGGGGCCGTAGTCTGCCACACCGAGGCGCGTTCCATCACGGCAAGGCAATGCGTGAATAAGTAAATTCCACAGTGATCCAACAACCCAGCTGGAAAAAGATGAATAGCGGGGGCATTGTAACCGCTCACTCGTTTGTTCCCAAGCCCAAAAAAATATAAGCCATTGAAAATACGCAACGCTCGTGACAAACAGAAAGAACCATCCATGGTTACTCTCTGCGATGGGACAGTCCAGGGCAATACTGTACCCGTCAAAGCGGCGAAAGAAAACATCGCGCTCATAACAATAAAAGGTACGAAGAGGAATCAACATGTGTTTTTCTATAGAAATGATTCGAGGATGTAACCAGCCGTATGCACGTTGCCTCATAATTGCCCAAACAGGAGAAGTCTTCAGTGACGACTCGGAAGGTTCATACGTGGAACGCATAGAAAGTAATTTGCACATGATGCAACTCAACATCATAAGGAAAAACAAAAACAAAAGCAAAAATCCCTCCAATTCCGCCTTATTATTAAAAAAGAAGCCCAAAAATATACTCCCAGTGGGCTGGTAAACACTTTCAAGAGGATAATCCTTTAGTGCAATCTCATCGGTAGGATAGGAAGTGATGATCGGCACAAGACCCATTTTCGCCCAGGCGTATTGCTGCAGCAGCCAAAAGGAAATTATGGCAAATAAACAACCTCCATCACGGTTTCTGAAGAGCCAAATACCACGCGCGGATTCACCAAAACTGTTCCCAATACCCATTTTCTGTATGAACGAAAGCTCTGGTTTACCTCCCTGGACGGGATATCCAAGAATTAACATCCAAAGTGAATTTCTAAAGAAAAAAATACCCAATACAATGTGACTTATCAACGGGGGAATAAATTTTAAAAGCAGGTACGAGAATGCCACATAAAAAATGCCTAAGAGTGACATAGCCATGAAAATTGGCTCCTGAACCATCATTTTCACCGTACCACGTCGGCGCATTTGACGTACATTGATGTACCCACTTCCTGAAATTTCCATTGGCGAAAAGTCACTTTTGACAGAGAAGGTGCTGCCATTACGTTGGAAGATGGGGGCTTTCGTCAGCACATACACGGCCTCACGGTGATTTCTAAAACGTGCATATTGCAATGCCGTGTAGTTGTCCTTATCCGCCAAATCAGTACGAGCACCCCGTAAGACAAGGTACTCCAAAATCACCGCGTATCCTTCGCGGGCAGCCCAGAGAAGCGGGGTGCGTCCATTAAGGTCGGGCACATCTAAATCAAAGCGGCAATTTTCAACAAGGTACTGAAAAATAGCCAGAGAGTTAGTGTAGGCTGCCCAATGCAACAGGGAATGACCCTCAAAATCCCGTTCTTGCGGGTCAATAGGATGTTGCTCGCACAACATCAATAATAGCGGAAGGTTATTTGCCTGTACGGCTGTAAAATACGCACTGTAGCCCTGATGGTCCTTTTGACGAGGGTCAGCACCGTGATCCAGAAGGAAACGCGTCATGTCATATTGAACGCCTGTCACTGCCCAGTGTAGTGCGGTGTGGCCCAATCCATTAGCCGCATTGACCTTCACTCCCTGATCAACTAAAAATTTAGCGACGCCTAAATGACCACGAAGTGCGGACCACATAAGAAGAGTCGCATCATTTCCCTCAAAAAGAGCACGTCGATCCTTTACTTCATGGCCTTGCGCCCAGAATGTGATGGCGTGAGCTAGACTACCGTAGACACAGGCTTCCTCAATGGTCGATGGGTTGTCGCGTCGCTGACGCTCCGCAGACTGCATCCATGGATGACGTGGCTGCCAGGGTTTATATAAACTCCCATCCATGTAAGGAAGGTAGGCGAGACGTGACTGTTGGTAGTACATGTCGCACCCGGGAAAGTACACATCCAACCCAAACTGCGTATTGACATTATCAAGATTTACCATTTCTTTACTTTCCCCGCCCACCTGTCTCTCCCCCTCTCACTTTCTTTTTTTTTTTTAGTTTTATTTCAATTTTTTTATCGGTCAATGGCTTATGGCCGCTTTACAGTACGAGAGAGAGGGAGAGAGATGTGTATATTTTCGTTGTTACAAGTTTCAACTCAGTCTCCGTGGCGCAATAAAAAGTAAAGCGTTTGTTGGAATATTTCCCTGTCGAGTACAGAGCAAATACTCCCACACTAAACAAAAAAAAAAAAAGAATTGTTTTTGTAAATTCACACCACTTCCATGTCTACTCACACAACGTAAAATCTTTTTCTAATCTTGATCCTAAAAAAAAAAAATAAATAAATAAATAAATATTATTTTTTTTTTGCACACAAATCTTATCTCTCGTATTTAATTTATTACATATATATAACCATACGTACGTATGCGCACACACATGCAATATTAAAAAAAAAAAAAAAAAATAGAGTAAAACGAAACCAGGCTTTGAAGCTGCCAGTAATTTCTGTTCCTCACCCCTCCGTCGTACAAGAAAAGAAAAAAGAAGTAAGAAGGGAAATAGAGAGACTGACGCGCCACTGACCCTTCTCATGTGTGAAAGCTGAACCGGAGCTTAGTTGTATTGTCGTGCCCACTTCACAACGTCACTCGGATTCTTCAGGCGTGATGCGTACCTCCTCGGGTCCTCCTTCACGGAATCCGCAAGGTGCGCAAGAGCACGCTGCGTGTATTCATTTCCAAGTGCGTCGTACAGGCGGAGTTTCTCCTCCGAGCTAAGTGCCCGGGAGCCACCAATAAAACCCTCAACACAAAGCGGCTGCACGTACGCCACTTCACGTCTCGCGGAGCCGGGGAACTTCTCTTTTGGCTCATTTTCCCGGTTTTCCAACTCCTGCGATCGCGAGCACCACAATATGAAGCGAAGCAGTCTGGATGGATAAAATACATACGCCGTGGCAAGAAACACAATCGTTGCCTCACGGTTCTGCATCATCGCACACGCGACGGTTCCAAGTTGGGCCCACCGCAATGTCCATCGAGTCAGTGAAAAAAGATAACTCGCCCAAAAGAACTTCGCAAAGAAGCCACAGGCTATACCTACCAAAAGTAGTACGCACTTGAGGAAGAAAATCAGGTCAGACTCCTCATAATAGTTAAAATACGCGTAAAGAAAAGCGGCATATGCACTCAACAGACTTTCAGCAAGAGCAGAGAAACCACCAACTGTTAAAAGTGCAAATAAACCAATCTTTCCAAGTGTCATATTCTGCAGCTTCCGAAATAGAAAGAGTAACACAAAACCAACCAACACAATGGTTCCGCCCATTCCAGCAAGCAATATCTGAAAGGCCGGAACATCCTCTATCCATGGCTGCAAGAACCGTATCAGGCAGAGAACAAGTATAATCTTCAGCCAAAAGAAATCAAACAAAAGAAAATCTTCTACGTGAATAACAAGTTCTTTTGCATGCGCAACGGCCAGACGAAGACACACGGGATTTGCGGCGGGCAATTGAGCTTCGTAAACGAACCGGTGCTGGCCATCCTTTCCAAGAAAAAGTGTTTCTGTTGATGCCATCGGCCGAGTGCCAAGCCACGCCGCAACCCATGACGGCAGCCACAGACTGCTTCTACCGTTTGGGCCAAGCTCCTCAAAAACATACACCAATCCCCCTTCTGCCGTTTCTAAAAACATGGGGGATACATCACCACCAGCAGCTGCACTCCTAACAGTAGCACCATAACCGCCATAACCAAAGAAAAGAGAAAGCAGGGCGCCAAAACCAATATTGCCCATCATACGTGAAATGAACGATACATCATTGGAAGCTTTTCGGTAGGCCGCGAGCATTTCACCCAAGTTGCAGGTAAGGCGAACATCTTTGTTGGACGCATTTCCTTTTCCTTCAACCAACTCCGCTGTGGGTGC